TGATATACCTAATTTTTTTTCAACCTTTGTCAATATCATCAGAAAGAGTATGTTCTCATTTCAAGAAAGTTTTTGTCTTTGTTTAATAGAGTATGCTTGCTCTTCTAGAACTCTAGGAATGTACTTTAGTGTAGAATTTTTTTTTGAGTGGCTTTCCTAACATGGACAGTATGGTGGTGTATTTATTATGGCGAATCTATATCCTTTCTTCCAGAATATCTTATTGAGTTTCAGCCAGTCAACTCTAACTGCAGATTCATACTAAAGTATTCATCCATCTTGTTAGACTGGATATAAATATATTGACGGTATGAAGATCTGTCATGTTAATTTATAAGAAAGTTAATGATTGTGTCCAAATAGTAACTATTGATGACCCACAATCTAATCGCATTGTTCATTATCTCTAATTGTCATTACTATTTATAGTTGCTGGGTAGTATGCTCTTCTTTCTAGGAAACCAAATTTAACCTATTTGTGAACTTTGTATTAACTGTTTGTGAAATGTTTATTTTGTTAATAAAATTAATAAAGGTGCAGCCTCAGACAACAAAAATTCAAATAATTCTTTCTTGGCAAAATTCAAGAAAATTTGTAGCCTATATAGTGGATGTAAGGGATGAAATAAATTCATCATTTTATGTCTGGAATAGATCGAAATTAATCATTCATTTCTTATATTCAGATGATTTTATATCTAAACAGTCAAATGTTCTCCTATAAAATTCAAATTTGCTGTGATACTTCTCCAAGACTTTTTTATGTTTGTGTTCTGTATTTGTAATGTAATCTAAATTTTAAATGAGGATGGCATGTGTCTGGTTAGATGACATTGAATTGATAAATGTGTGGCGGCAATAATGTGAATTAATCTACGGCTGATGTTAAAGATAGTTTTGTTTAAAATAGACAGAGAATGGTCCCTTGACAGCTTCTTAAAGCACTGAACCTCAACTTAATGTATGTGGTTCACTATTGTACTGTCAGCTTCTTACAAACACCAGACATCACATCTCTTGGTTATATTTCAAATTTGTCCATTGTTGTACTTTTGTCAACTTCTTAAAACATATAACATCATGTTATTCAAGGTGGTCTTCTGTTTGATTGTCTGTCGGGTTGACTCGGAATTATATACTAGACAGTGGTGCTATGGTGTACAATAATTTTGTCTTTTATAGTAATACCAGCCTCTATATTATTATTATATCATGATCCACTGTTGTTTGTATGTTTATGGAAACAGACATACATCAACTAAGGGTTATATTCCAGAGGGAGGTCTACTGTTGTACTGTTTTCTTTTTATAAAATAGATATTATAGATATTACCTAACTCTTGGTCAAATCTAGAGATTGACCGACTGTAGTACATGTATAGAATTTTCAATGATAATTGTTGTGTGGTCTCCCTTTAATTAAAAAAAAAAAGACTTAGAATAAATTCTATTTGAAGTAAAGAATCAGACAAATCGAATCTGTCAAAGGAAAAAAAATGGTGATTCATAAATTATTTATATCTGGGCTCCCATGTCGCAACATGTAAATCCCTGGCTTATTATTGGCTAATTTATTCATGAAGTAATTACACGTTAAATGACGTTTGGTAAAAACATGCAAATGAAGAGTTAAGTGGGTTTAACACACACAAGCAATAATTGTCATCTGTCGACAGAAATGTTTTAATTTGAATATTTTCTGTTTTGTCTGGTAAGTTTGCAATGGTGCAAAAAATATTCATGATCAGGATAGAGAATCCTTTTGGGTAGTTGATGAATAAATTATTTGTCTAACAACTATACTGTATGAAATTTTTGGTTTTCTTTGAAACACTCGGAAACTTGCTTTTGATCTATGCTTTGAAACTAGTAATTGAAAGGGTGTCCATTATTAACTAAATGTTGTAAAAAAATCAAAGATGTCCTAAGTCTTATATAGTAAGGAATACCGTATCATAAGAGAGACTTCTATTCTTGGATTATGTTGTTGCCCTATGTATGTTCTAGCTTTATGCCTATGCATTAGGGAATTAATTGTCCTATGTTGTATATGCTTTTGGCCCCTGTGCCTATGTTGTAGGAATATGTCTATGTGTTTTGCTTATTGTTTTAGACTAAATGCCTAAAGTTTAGAATTAGATATATATTTGGCTCTATGTCTTTGGTCGTATGCCCTTATATTTTTACCTCATGCGATGTTATAAGCTGTACCTAAGTTTTAGGATTATGTCAATTTATTTTGTTTATGTCTTAGATTTTCATGCTTTTGGCACAATGCCTATGTTAAGGCAAAGGCGCTCGGCATATGTATTTTGCTCTTTACCGATGTTTAGGTAACTTAACTTTATAAGCTTACCTATGTTTGAAGCTCAATGCTTTTCTTTTGTATTTTGCCTGGTGTCTAAGACCTTATGCTTTTATGGTTAAGGCCTGATGCCTATTATTTATAACTCTGTTTTTTAATCCTATGCCTTTGTTTAAGGCACATTTCCTGTGTTTTAGGCTTAACCTTATCCTTATATTTTAGACCATAGGCCATAAATAAATAGCAGATGTCTTTAGGCCTATACCCTATCCCTGTTTTTGATCTTAAACTTTTATTATTTTAGCCTTATTGTCTATGCATTTTTCCGTATGTCTGAGAGTTATTTCTCTACCATGTATTAGGCTCTATTCCTTTGTATTTTGCCTAATGCATATGTGCATTTAGGCCTTATGCCTTGCATTACTTTTGCCCTATGTTGAATGTGTCCTGTCTTACCATGTCAATGTTGCTATTTTTTGGTATTTTTCTATGTTTTCCTCTAGGACAAACCATCATCAAGGAAACAACAAGAGGTGCTAAAACAACATTTTTAGTTTGATTTACCATGTTTTACTCATTAATTTTACTAATTTATTTTATTAACGAACTTATTTTAATTAATTCAGGTTTTCAGTTAATTTTTCATTAATTTCTAATCTTAGTATGGTACATAATTTTGCATCTTTTCATGCACAAAATTTTTTCTTGCCAAATTTTGGGTTGAAATTTTTCATTTATACACAACAATTTTGGTAAAAATACAAACTTAATGCCTTAATTTACTTTAAAGATTTAGAAATTATTTTTTTGCTGTTTTTGAAATGTATGAAACTACATGTTAGCATATGCATTCTGCACAAGAATATTTAAGAAAATTGGGTATTATATTTGAAATGCTGAAGATTAAGGGAAATGCTTAGAATATGTGGAAAGTGTATCATGCTTTTATTTGATTTTTTGCAGATTTTGATTTAACAAACTTAACAAGATAATTTAGTTGGAGTGATTTTTGATAGTTCACACATAAATTATTATACTTTTACATTATATGAATGCTTACACCATCACAAAATAACCAAAAAAATAGTAAAATAAGCACGGAAATTTACCAAATAGTATTAGAAGTCAAATGATGCTGGAGCCTTATTCACAATAACTTCACTTAAATGATTTGAGCATTCTCTTCATCTGATTGGCTAATTATTAAAAAATTACTGGTTATTATCGAAATTAATTATTCATATTTTTCCAGTCTGATTGGTTGATCACATAAAATTGATTTTAAATTAACCAATCAGGTTACAGTATTTCCTGATATCTAGTTTTTTTTTTAAGTTAAGATTATTTTGAGAATAAGGCCTCGTATCTTGATATTTCATTCTGTATTTTTTTTTGTGGGCGACGAAAACTAGACCTAGAACTAATTCAGACTGAAATGTGCTAAGACAACTCTGTATGGATGCAGATTAAGAAGATCAAAGGCTAACAAATTTGCGTAATGCGCTTTGAAATTAGCAATTCTGCTGCTCTTGTTGGCTGGATATAGTAACAGTTCATGATGAGGATTTCCTCTATCTAAACTATGTATTTGATTAAATTGATACTAGCTGTTGACTGAAGATTAAAGGTGTAGTATTAGAGTAATGTAATCCAGTGTAAATTCTAATATTGTTAATAGAGGATTTTACTTGATTCTAATATATATGATTTGTTTAATAATATTAATGGAACTTCTTAACTCGTTAGTGAAATTAACATTTCTAATTAATCTAATATATTAATTTCCAATAAATTAAATTATGATTTGAATTATTTGACAAATTAATGAATTTTAGTTAATTTATAAATTTTGGTTTACTAATTAATTTAATTAAAATGAAATACTCTTTTATCTTGGTTATAAACAAAATATTAAAGAGTTGAAGTGAAATTTAGTAATTTCATATACACAAATGTATATTTTGTTAAAAAAAAAAAAGAAAGATATTCTTTATTGTTATAATTCCAAATTTCAGAGACAAATCAACGAAAAATAAAAATGGTGATGACTCAAAAAGGTTGTTTGTTTTTTTTATAAAAGATAGATGTTTCAAATTAATATTTAAGTTAGCAAAACAGAACATGTAAGGGTTGGGGGGAATGACGCAAAGTCAAATATGACGCGGACAGATTTTTAAATATTTTAGACGATTTTACAATTATTTTTTTTTTGTTGTAGACGAATTTCATTTTCACAAAATTTGAAATGGCATGGCTGATTTTGTACACCAAAGTTTAGTTTTTTAGAATTTTGCATGAAATTGAAATCCAGATGTTGGGCATGTCACTAATTTTAGGTACCGGTACTAACACTAATTTTAGATTTTACAACAAAAATGGAGTACTTTCTGTGATTATAGAAATATCAATTTCAAAAAGTTATTTTAAAATAGTAAAAAAAAAATATTGTATTCAAATTTTACTCACATGATGTATTTAAAAAAACAAACATTTATGTTATAAATAAAAATTAGATAAAAGATATTTTTTATTTGAAAATCCTTTAACAAAATATGTAAAAACTGTAGAACTGAAATATTGTTTAGTGTATTAATGTTCAATGTGCGCAATAGCCAAATGTTTTTTGCTTTCATACGATAATATGCAATACATAATTTTTTGCGTTTTTTTTGTTTGTTATTTGACAGATGTTTTTATGATTTTGATTTTTCGTTGTAGACGATTATGCGACGAGGATGATGAGCTCAGTGAGGTCGAACCAGATGCAGTGCCCAGTGAGGTCAGGGATTGGTTAGCCTTGACCTTCACAAGGTCAATGAGCAATCTGAAGAGAAAGGGAGAAGAGAAGCCAAGGTTTCGGAGTGTTGCTCATGCTATTCGTGCTGGTATAATGGTAGATAGGTAAGTAACAAAAACTTTATTTCTGCTTTTAAATAAGAAAAACTGTTCAAAAATGAGAGAAGTATCTCCGAGACAATGCCCAAAGGGTCGAAGCCTCTTGAGGACTGTTCTCTGCCAATGGATATCAGATGGCTTGAGATGGATTTTGAGCATTAAGAGGGCTAAACTTTCACTTCAAAATAAGACCTGAAAAACTATTTAGTCCTTCACATAGGACAATAAACCGAGGCCTTGAATGCTGCAGTCTGTACACATTAAAGATATGAGACTTTGTGATAGGATTATGCTACTAGCTTTTAAAGTATTGGTGTTACTGTTTCAGGATCTATCGAAGAATGTCAAGTTCCTTAGGGATGCACGTTCCTCCACATATTCTTATATTATTAAAGGTCAGTTAGTTTATTGCCAGCCACTCATACCTCTATATGATAAATATTAAGTATCATATTATGATATATCAATCTATTCTGCCAGCATTGGTGTAGGTTCTCAAAACACCTTACAAATAGTTGTTGCTACAAGTATGCTATTTCCCAAGTAAGGTTCTGCAGGAGTAAAAATTTCAAAAGCACTTAATATCTGTGTACAATTTTGTGTTTGTCATTTAATTTTGATATTTCTTCTATGATATTTAATCATTTCAGAGTCTGGATGATTGGTCTTTTAATGTGTTTAATGTGAACGATGCTTCCGATGGACATGCGTTGAAATTTGTAGGTTATGAACTGTTACAAAAATACGACTTGATAACCAAGTTTAAAATTAGTTCAAACGTATTGGACAGTTTTTTAGTGACGTTAGAACAAGGATATAGTAAATATACGAATCCGTATCACAACGCGCTTCATGGAGCAGACGTGGCACAGACTGTTCATCATTTACTCTCCCAGAGTAAACTGGCAGTGAGTATTGCTATATCTTTTTGAGTCATTGACAGTGTGGTATTAGAGACTGAGGGTAAAGATATTATGTTAACTGGTCTTTAGTATTTTGATCATTATAATTTTTCATGGAGTATTCTGTTTAAGCTTTAGTATTTGGGCGATGGAAAAGGGTTTTAGGGGAAAGGAAAAGAGCAGTGTTTGGTTTAAGGGGCAGGGGAAAGTCAGTGTTGGGTTTTGGGGGAATGGAAAAGAGCAGTGTTGGGTTTTAGGGGAAGGGGAAAGAGCAGTGTTGGGTATAAGGGGAAGGGAAAAGAGCAGTGTTGGGTTTTAGGGGAAGAGCAGAAGAGTATTTTATATTGAGGAAAATGAAAACCATCATTCTTTTACAGCATTGGGTAGAAGGTTTGATAAACAGGCCAACTTCCCATGTTATCTGTCCCATATCCAAAACATATCCACAGCATCAGTCAAGTTAGGTCAATTATATGATGTGGTTGTATTTTTCAGCAATGGTTAACAGATTTAGAAGTGTTTGCTACAATAGTAGCAGCCCTAATACATGACTACGAACATACTGGGACAACCAATAACTTCCATGTAAATACAGGGTAAGTAACTGTTGTTCTTATTGCTGAATTATACCACAATGTTAGTCATCCACTTACAATTTTGAACTTAAATGGAATGCTTAGTTGATAAGCCAAGTTACAGATTGGCATCGGGTGATGGGTCTTAATATGTGTAATGTAGTCTTGATGAATAATGATCAAGGAAGCATATGGAGGTTATAAGTTTTATATGGTAAAACTTTGTTGTGCTGTATCAAGGATTTATGTTGTCTGTTGTACACTTAATCTAATGATGATTTCATGTCATTTTCAGTTCTGATGTAGCATTATTGTACAATGATAGAGCTGTACTAGAGAACCATCATATTAGTGCAGCGTTCAGATTAATGAAAGATGAAGATTTAAACGTAGCACACAATCTTAGTAAAGAGGAGTATAGGTAAGTCTGGAATTTGGCTAAATACCACCACAAAATTGTTGTGTTGTCCACATATTCAAAGCTTTTTGGCCCTCCCCTACTTCAAATTTCTTATAATTTACGAATGGAAAAAATAGCCTGTAAGAACCTCCCTTGACCATTCAGTGGCATCTCTCCATCAAATTTTTCATTGCCACTGACAGAAAACAACAAATTAGACATGAAAGGAGAACAATTGTCATCCTGGATCATTCTAGTTGACAAAATGATAAAACAAGTTGACTGTTGAAAGTGTACTAGCACTTCCAGAAATTAAAAATTCCAGAGAATTATGACATTTATTATATCATTCCCGTTTTTAATTTTCAATTTGTTAGATTTTTTATAATTATTGAAATTTTAAATTATAGAGAATTTCGAGCGTTGGTGATAGATATGGTACTAGCTACTGATATGTCTTTCCATTTTCAACAAATCAAAAATATGAAAAATCTTCTCAGTATGCCAGAAAAGTAAGACAAACCACCTTTACTTTTTTTTCTTTTGTAGGTGATGCAGCTCAGAGATCACATTTTCTATAGGCTGTGTTAATTAAGAATCTCTGAACAGTTAGAAATCTGTTGTCCTGGAGAACTTTCCTTCATTGCACACTATACTTTGTTGCTATCCAATATAGAGTAGGGTGTAAAACTCCCTTTATTTTTCTTTCCAACTTTAAAACCTGCCTTATGTAATTTAGAATTGATTATTATCTGTTATTTTTTCAGTATTGAGAAATCGAAAGCCTTATCATTAGTTTTACACTGTGCTGATATCAGTCACCCAGCTAAAGATTGGCATCTTCACGAACGCTGGACTGGATTACTGTTAGAGGAATTCTTTCTTCAGGTATGCACATTTCTTTGATTCCTGGCTTGAATTGTTGGAATCCTGAAGACAATTTTAATTTTTTGTTTGCATATTTTTTTAAATTGGATAAATCTGATGATCTTAATATTGACTTTACCAGCTGATATACCTCAATTTCAGCTATTGGTATAGTCATCTAAATATTTAGACTACAAGCTTATAGAGCTTAATTTCAGCTGTGTCTATATTTGTCTAAATATTTTCTTTACCAGTTGATAGAGCTCAATTTCATCTGTTTGTAAAGTTGTCTTTAAGACGTGTATGATAAATATTATGGGATGTATTTTGTAATTTCAGGGTGATAGAGAACAGGAACTTGGCCTTCCATTTTCTCCTTTATGTGATAGAAAAAATACCCTTGTGGCTCAATCTCAAATAGGTATGTTGAACTGTTAATTTTGGTTGGCTTAATTCGTGAATTGGTGGATGCGAGTTTGAATACTGGTGTGGACCTATCTGTAAAGATCATCATGGAACAGTCAGGTGGTACAAAGATCTGCAAAATCTAAGTTGTTATTCATGTTGTTACTATTATATATTAAGGTGTATTCAAGTTTTTCAGAAACCCTTTCAACTATTTAACAGCGTATATTTTCACAACCCTCTAAATTCCACTATTGTTTTGCAGGTTTTATAGATTTTATTGTGGATCCCAGTTTTCAAGTTTTAGGTGATATGTTAGAGAAAGTATTAAATCCATTAAATCAGTCGTCATCCAACAGCGTAGATCAGTCCATATCTGAGGAGGTGTTCGAACGTGAGAAAAAACCAAGTCAATCCCACCGTCCTTCATCGAGGACTTCACTATCTTCTCTTGGTATGTTTCTTTTAAACCTTTTCAATTTTCTTCTAAGGATATTTTGGTTCACTTATTTTCTGTGGTTTACTTCGTTCAGTCAATTAAACCAATCAAATTCTCAGTTCAGTGGAAGTGGGTATTCTAATTTATAATCGAATGAAATGAAAACCAAAAGGTATAATTTCCAAATTGCCCATTCCCAATTAAGCCCTGATCTATTTAAATTTCGCTACTTCTGTTTTCCAAATTGTGCCTTTTTGTTTTTCTCCTCTTTCCTATAAAACTCCTTTGTAATTTCAACAGAATTGTCAAGTAGCCTGGAATGATGATTAATTATGTATTTTAAAGAATTTGATTGATGATATTTTCAGGTAGTCGAGGTGAATTAAAGAGACCATGGGTCAAATGTTTAGCAGAAAATAAAGAAAAATGGAAGGATAAAAGTTTAGCAGGTATGGTCACTTTATTTGTGATATAAAAACAACCTATTAGTCCCAATGGTTACTCAATAAGTTGATTGATCAAACTTGTATAAAACACAATAAATAGGTTCTAACCATTGACAGAAATCCAACGCTTTCACTCCCAGACTAATGTTCCACTCTTTCTAGTCCCAACAGCTCTTTTAGAAAGAGTTCCCTACCAACCATTAACCAACTCACATTCACTGTTGGAGAATAATAATTTTTCTTTCTGTAATTCCAGATGAGGAAACAAAAAATTCCCATCCAGAAGAAAAATCTTCCCAAGAAGAGGAAACAACATCCAATAGTTCTGAAACTTGCCGGACAAAATCCGAATCTGAAACTTGCCGAACTGTGCCAAATAGTATCATAAAGACTGAATCTGTAACCAGTATGCAAATTAGGAAGGTTACTACGAATAACCAATCAAGTACAAGCACTTCGTCTTCGACCCACATTAGCATGAAACCTGTTGTTCCATTAAAACCTAAAAAATGACAAAGAAGCATTATCCAGCAAACTCCACAGAACCTAGATTAACCTCCAAAACCCTGCCAGCATTGTTACCTGGGCTTTCAGTGTTGTTGCTAGGGTGAACCTCAATCTGGCCAGTAACCATGACGATTCTCAAGGAGGTCGTAATCTCAAATTATAAACTCTCAATCAGAAATGTGTTAAAAGCAACCTACAGAGTTGCAAAAACATAGCATGGGCTTGACGCCAGAAAATTTGAACAGACACTTAGGATTGGATGTGAAAGGTTGTTTAATTTGCGCTCTTAATGCATTATTAAATTGGAGAAATGTATCGAAAAGAACAGTCGAGTGAAAATTGCGGTCTGTGATAAAATGGTTAAAATAAACTTATGTCAAGTTTCTGAGAGTCTGAACAAAGGGGAAGTAACCCCATAGCAACAAACGAAAACTTCAAATGTTAGCTGGGTAATAGAAAAATAGACTGTAATAACCACATGTAACTATGAGTGGTTAATAAACTTACGTCAGGTGACTTCTGACCTTTAACCTGTGAATATGTAAATACCTAAAGTTCATTTGCAAATTTCCTCATGCAGCTGATGAGATTCTGATTCTCAGAATTCGTGCGAATCACGTTGAATGTTCGTTTTTTTTTTGCTTCTATGTTAATTTTTTGTTTTTTTTTACAATGAATTAATGTGATGAACTTCAAGTCGTTTCTATGGTGATTTACGTCTCATCTGTGATTGGATAGTTCATTTCTATCCACCGTTATTTGTTAAATCTTCTCGTTCTTTAAGCTGTTTTTTTTTTTTTTTATTTGACTTGAATCGATTCTGGTTTTCTAAATGGAGAACTTTAATCGTTTGAGATCCTATGTGTTCTCGTAGATTAAAGTCAGTTTTTGAGTAGCAAATGAGAAATCTCCATCTTAGTCAGCTGATCTTGATCAGCCAATGAGAATAAGAAATCCTAATTGTTATGTTTTGCATCTTTAACTCTTTTTTTAGACTTTCTCTAATTGGCTTAAATCAAACTTTCTAAGAGTTTTCAAGCCAATAGCCTACTTTTATTTTCATCTTTTGCTCAATACGTGTAGAAAATGTTAAAAGCCTAAGTTTGACCAAAGTTTGTTTTTGTATCTTCCTAAAATCAGTTTCATGAAAACTGATTCAGACATAATTACATTTTGTTTAATTCCTTGCTCAATATTTACTTTATTCTAGTATTTCCAATTTGTCAAATTTTAACACACTAACTCACTTTTCAGAATAGCAAAGTTTGGACTAGATCTTAGAGGATTTGTCAGCACTGCTTGGTCTCAGAGCAGAAATAAAATAAACATTTTTCATTCTCTTGTTGTATCAAAGGTTCCGAGCACTTTATCCAAGTTTTAGTCAAGTCATAAAACTCATAGAAAATATTGCATTTATTTAAAAAGAAACCTGTTATTGTTTTTTTAAAATCAAATTTTTAACACTGTTTTACACCTATCATAATTTTAAAAGTTGTTAAAGAACATATTCTACTGTTTTGTACATATCTTTTTAAAAAAAAAATTTAATAGATCGGAAAATTCACATCATTTTAAAAGATTGAAAAAAGGTTTGTAGTCCTTGTTATGTGTATCAGGAACACTTACACCCTGTATTCAAGAATACAATAGAGTTTTTATGGAATTACAGGGGCAATAGACTTCCAATGGGTAATCAGAATGGTGTAAATTGAAGGTACAATGTCCCTGATATACAAACAGAGGCTTGAAAACCTCTTTTGTATCTGTTTAAAGATATATTTAGTGTTCACTCATTTCCTCAATTCATATATGAGTTAGTTTCAAGTTTTTATTCCTTGATCAAACGTTAAATTAATTCTTTAGTTAGAAAGGTTTTATTTTAAAATGTTTTACTAATATGGCATCCATTTAACAAAAGACACAGACAAAATTGGAACATATAAAACCCAATTCCTGTCACCCTGAAATGGCATAAAGTTTAATATTATTAGATCTTGAAATTTTTTATTATCTTTTTTCTTCCCAAACCACAATTGCCAAAAATTCTCTGGTTCTGGATTTTGAAAACTAATTTAAAATTTTTTTTTTTTAGCCTTATCACAAAAAATGTAACTATCAAAATTGAAAAGCAGGCCACGTATTCTGGAAATGATTTTAGCGCTAGGATATCCTTTAAACATTGTTTGAAATAAAGAACCTAAGACATCCTAGAGAATACATGGCCTAACTTTCATTTCATAGTTGGATTATTTGTGAAATTTGGCTGGTTCAAAATCTCTACATTTTCATTTAATATTGTTTGGAACTGGAAAACAGTTCGTTAAATTTGAAGAAAATATTATCAAAGTCAAGAAAAGTAACTTAAAGAGATACGGTCATTTAAATATTTGATTTACCAAAAGATAAAGCTCATTTACAACCATCCATTGCACTTTTCATTATTAAAACTTTTGGTTCTCCTTCGATTCAACAAGAACAATACAATGCTAATTTTGAATGTTGTCATTTCCAGAGCTTATTGACCTTCTCACCTGGAGTTATTACCGATATGACGTCATTGATAATAAGTTCACAAGAAAAGGTCAATATGTCCTGAAAATTACCACAGTCTCAATTGGCATGGTAGGGTTGTATTAAATTGCCAGAGAACTCGAAGTCAAATTATATTTTCTGAAAAGTGATCTGGATAGCTGAATTAAGCTTTATCGGTTGTTGAGGCAAATATTTGGATATTAATAGATATAGCTGAAATAAGGCTTTCATCAGCTGGTAAAGTAAATATTTAGATGACCAATCAATTTAATGGCCAAAAGATATTGCCAAATTGAAAGTAAGTGAGGTTCAGTATTATCAGTTATCTAGCATGTTATATTAACTATTGAAGGAGTTGTTTTAACGAAGAATTAAATAATTATATGTTAATTAGGCCCTACTTAGTTCTTTCAGGGTTATTATTATTATTATTATTATTAATATTAGTGACTAAATTGTCAAGTTGATTCTTCAATAGAGTATTTCTACTTCTATATCATAAGTGAAAAAATGTGAAAACTATTATCTCTGTATCTGCTTTTCTAAAACGTAAGAATGGAAATATTTTGTCTCCAATATTCCATTGGATTTAGAGTTAAAATTTATATACCCTATTTTTAGAATGATATAGAGACCTGTTGTAATTTGGGTCAAAAAAAATATTTTTCCTATAGTTTAAAAATCAAATTCTTGGGTTAGAATCCACATTTTTCCAAGCCCAAATCTTGTTGATCTTTCTTTCTCAGTGTCATCTATCTGTTCAAAGTTTCAACTTGACAATAGAGTTGCAACAACTTTCATCTCTTCTTGTTAAATGTTAACATGAAACCAGAGTTGATCATGGAAAATGTGATAATTATTAAATCATTTAGTGAACACACGTATTTTTATTACACTAATTAGTGACTAATATTTAATGGTTTACACAAGTTCAACACTAATACATCACATTGTTGCACTTTTGATGGGTTGTTTTCACATGTTTTACCACTCTTGATGAATTGACACATTATCTCCCAAATGTCATGTAGCATCTCTATTGACATTTTGCACCTCTTGTTGCAGTAATTTTGATATGTAACATCACTTTTAACATGCAGCATCATTTCTAACAGGTAGCATCGCTTGTCACTGGTATCATCACTTTTGATATGTATTGTCATTATTGAAATGTTGCATTGCTTTAAATAGGTAGCATTAATTTTCATGTATTGCATCACTCGTGCATTTTGTTCGATCACTGTTGGACATGTTTCATCACTATTGAATCGCAGCATCTGAACTGACCTGCAAATCATTTATTATTAAATAGTAATAGCCCATACAAATATCAGAATGTATCATGTACCTGATATTTGTATGGGCGATTACTATTTAATAGTACATAATTTAATACATACATGGAGGTATGCCCAAACATAATTATGTAGTTTGATGTCTATACATAATGCTCCTATATAATTTAGAGTTCTGCCATATATATCAGACGCCCCTATGTAAAAGAGTGATACCTCTACATATCGGAGAGTGATGCACCAATACATGAGAGCGATGCCCCTAAATATCACCCTATCCTATACATTTATTAAATATGCCCCTACATATACGACATTTATTGGGACATTAGCTGACATTTATAAGGAGCCTAATTAAACATATTAAAGTGACTATAGATATTTGAGAGTGATGCACCCATAAATGAGTGACGCTCATAGATGTCAGCGTAATGCTCATATAAATACGAGGGTGATGCCCCTCTAAATAAGTGTGGCATAGGAAGCATCACTCGGACATTTACACTGACATCACTTTTATATATTAAGGGGCATCACTTTCCGTTTTGCAAAGGCATCACTCTCATAAATGCAGATCCATAACTCTCATTTATTTTATATGGGCATCTATCTCATATCTATTAGTACGATCCTCCTTTCCTAGATATGTATCAGTGATCTCCCTTCCCTAGACATGTAATATGATCCCCTTCCCCATTGAGTAACCCCCTTCCTAGATATGCATCATGATCCCCCTTCGCCATAGGGTGATCCCCCTTCCCTAGATATGTATCATGGTATTCTTTCCCTAGACATGTATCATGATCCCCCTTCCCTAAACATGTATCAGAGTGATCACCCTTCCCCAGACATTTATATGATCCCCCTTCCCTAAACATGTATCAGTGACCCCCCTTCCCTAGACATGTAATATGACCCCCCTTCCCCATAGGGTGACCCCCCTTCCCTAGATAAGTAATATGATCACCCTTCCCCATTAAGTGATCCCCCTTCCCT